GCAAGGAGATTCCAAAAGGACACTTACGCTTTAGTCTCGGCGGCGAGTAGTCCTGCACTCGGCGAGGGAAATTACGAAATTAATAAACGTGCCTGATGAAACTGAATGATATCCCCTCTTATTCCACTGCCTCGCAAGTTGATCCCGAAACCCCTCTTCACCAACCCGTATATTCCTTGAAGGCAAGAGTCCATGCCCTGAGCTACCAAAAACGAAACCCAACACAAAACCCCTTGTAACCAGCCGGGCGTCCTGATGTACAGAAAGAAATAGAAAGGACGGTTACAGTACACATCGTTTCACTCTGATAAGTATTACAAGTTATAGATGCAATGAGAAGTTAGCAGAACACTGATCTAGGCTTTCATATTTGTATGATAAAATAGATTGTAAAAGTTGCTTGTATCATGATAACCTCAAATCCTACATAGAATGAAAGATGGCTGGTAATAAGACAAATGTGAAGGGATGTGTTGTTAAACTGTGGACAAAATTAAGCATGTCGTACGTAAGCAAAAAGTGACTACAATTTTGAGCCTTCAGAGGCCGAATATTCAGTCGTGTAGCGTAAGTAGCAGCGATCATCTGTTATTTTTGTTAACACAGGCCTGTATAGTGTGCATTTTGTATTAAGGGTGGTGCCTGGATTTTAATTGTTTTTTAGTTGATAGTAACATTTATTAGCTAGCAGTAGTTAGATCATTGGGTGAATTAATAAAAGTGCCCAGATATTTAAATATGTTTACTTTTCCAAACTTGTAATTATTTACTTTAAATTATTTCATATTGGTTCGTCGGTGTGATATTTCCATTTATGTCCTACTTTCATTAATACCAAGGCCCATTTCATTGGCTGCATTTTCTAGCTTCAACTAGTCATATTTATGAAGAGAAGCTTAGTTATTTTTTTCTAAAAGCTAAGAAATGCTGTGGAGTCATAAATAAAGGAAACTTTCGATTGTTCGTCCTTGAAAGACTCCACATTCATGTAAAGAACTCTAAGGCGTCCGGCATTTCCTTTTCAAGCGAGAAGAAAGCATGCGGGCATTTGACTGCGTATTTGCCCTTACAACACCCACATGGAGAGAAAAGTTAGCGAATCAAAATGACTCTGGTCTGAATGTCGGCAGGAACTCATCTAGAAATCTGGATTTTCCTCGGTTCTTCCTGGTTAATTGCCCGATGTAAGCTGAGAAAGCGTTTTTTATGAACTCGATAATTTAAGAACTTGTTTTTATCACAGCCAAATATCATTCCAAGTGATGCATAAATCATCAATCAAGATACACAAATGCAGATCTTGATCACAGGGATTAAAATATTTACACTTTCACATTACAGAGGATCGCTTGGTTGCTGACAGTCCTGCTGCTCAGATGTATGGCAACGGTCATAACTATGGTAGGGCAAGCAGTTGTCGCTTACGATACGGACAGCATTGTATATCGATGGCCTCTCATGCTAATAATCATCTTCTCATTGGGTGTGCTGGTACGTGACACGTAGGCTTAGTTTTCTGTGTTCATGAGAAGTTACATAGTCTTATTACGTAGAAGTGTAAATTATTTAAAAGAAAGCTTGGAGGAATTGAGAAGAGGAGCGAAGAAAGTGGTGCCAGAAAGAAACCAAAATAAATCAATGATAATGACAAGGAATAAAGATAAATGGCAGAGAGTGCAGGATTTTCCTTTCAAGTACCTAGGATTGGTATTAAGTGAAGGAAATTAGCGCTAGGAAAGAAATGCTGTTGTAATAACGCAAATATGAGCACGAGAAATCGGAGGAATGCAAACTCGCATGAAAATAGAAGAGCTCCACCAGCTCCATCCCGTAATAACAGCGGCGTTGAAGATGCACAAACTTCAACCGATAACAGAAATGGAAACCTTACATTTTGGGTAAGTGAATCTCATGTTGTACATTTCCTGTTTTTTATGCAAGTTGGTGTATTTGAGGTCTACATCGGAGAGATGAGCAGATCTATCAAAGACAGATGCACGGAGCATAAATGGTATATACGTATATACGCTTATACCAGCCACAGAAGTCTGTGGTGGCAGAACACAGGTTCGAGGCAGGGCATAACAACGCCACTTGGAGACCTGCACAAGTCTTGGACTTTTAAACTACTCAATCCTTATTTTTGACTGCCGCCGAATTTTGCTTACAAATCATCTCGTTCAAGCTCCAGAGGTTCTTCTTGTGCTTCTCTGAAGGAAGTTGTGATACAAATGTTTATGGCCCCTTAAAAGTCTATCAACCTTGGATTAAGTGTTAAGAACATTAACCACTTCAATCAGAAACAGAAAGTTGAGATAGATAACGCAGATATGAGCAACAATAATCAAGTGAATAATGCGAACGCGGATGCAAATGGGAATAGAATCGCTCAACCCCATACTAACAGAGATGTTCAAGACGTACAACCTACAACCAGTAATAACGGGAATGAAAACCGCACATCGTGGTGGTTGAGATAGATAACGCAGATATGGCAGAGAGTGCAGGATTTTACAAGTAGGGAAATTTCCTTTCAAATACCTTGGATCGGTATTAAGTGAAGGAAATTAGAGCTAGGAAATAAATGCTGTTATGCTCTGGGATCAAAAACAAAGTCAACATTTAAAATATACCGTACAGTGATTATGAGTGAGACGTTCGGACAGAACGGATACAGTAACCAGGACACCAAGCAGACCCTAACTCCGAGACAGAGGCCCCAGGCACAGGGCATAGCGATTATACCGTTAAAACAAGCAATTTCCCACAGAATCAGCAGAATAATGAAGAAAAGTAGTCAAATGCCGAGACCTATCAAGGACAAATTAGGCCTAAGAGTTGCGGGTGTATACCGCATACCATGTGAGTGCGGGAAACAATATAACTGTTTAATAAGCAAAATGGCGATTCCACAGCAGCGTGCACAAACAGTAGTGTGGTATATGGAATCAAAATCAATAATTTCAGTGGAAAGAAATTACCGACAAGTGTACGGAGGAGATGCACCTGATGGGAAAATAATTACAGTATGGTTCGAGAATTTTCTGGCGACTGGAAGTGTTCTAAAACAATCTGGGGGAGCTCCTTGAAGTGTTCCTGAAGAGAAAGTGGAAGAAATTCAAGCGGGGTTTGAGAGAAGCCAGAACAAATCAATTCGCCAAGCATCAAGATAATTCAATGTGCCGCGATCAACAGTGCATCGAGTGCTGCATAAGCGGCTTCGTTTATATCCTTACAAACTGCAAATTGTTCAAGAATTGAAATCAGACGACAAGCCACACTGACAGGAATTTGCTACTGAAATGCTGGATCGTATCGACACCAACACTCACTTTCTTGGAAACATCTTGTTTTCAGACAGGGCCACATTTCATCTGTTTGGGATTGTCAATCAGCATAACGTACGGATCTGGGGAACGCAAAATCCGCATGTGTACAGAGAACATGTCCGAGACAGCCCAAAATTGAACGTTTGGTGCGGCCTAATGAAGGACAGGATTACCGGTCCGATTTTCTTCGGTGAAGCTACAGTATCTGTCCCCGTATACCTTGACATGTTGGAACAGTTCCTGTATCCCCAGGTAGCCAATCTGCAGCCTTACGTAATCTTCCAACAAGATGGAGCTCCGCCATAATGGAATCTAGATGTTCGTAGGTCCCTCAATAACACCTTCCAAGATCGCTGAATTGGTCGTGGCAGTCCAATTTGGTGGCAGCCACGTACACCGTATCTCGCTCTGCTGGATTTCTTCCTCTGGGTTTATGTGAAGGATCGTGTGTTCATTATTCCAGTGAATGATCTCCCAGATTTACAAGCCCGCATCCATGACACGACTGCTACTGTAACAATGGGAATGATGCAGAGAATGTGACAATAAATTGAATACCGACTAGATATTGTTCGTGCTACCAATGGTGCACACGTAGAGGTTAATTAGTGTGTGTCATATAAATTTTTTGAATTGTTCTTGCATTTTCTGTGGTTTCATTTTCCTACCATTCATACTTTCTGCTCTGCAATCTGATAAAATGTGGGAAGTTTTAACGGGACACTGTGTATAAAAAAGGATCAAAGAAGAAGTAAGAGAACTATCGTTTAATAGGAAACAATATAACTGTTTAATAAGCAAAATGGCGATTCCACAGCAGCGTGCACAAACAGTAGTGTGGTATATGGAATCAAAATCAATAATTTCAGTGGAAAGAAATTACCGACAAGTGTACGGAGGAGATGCACCTGATGGGAAAATAATTACAGTATGGTTCGAGAATTTTCTGGCGACTGGAAGTGTTCTAAAACAATCTGGGGGAGCTCCTTGAAGTGTTCCTGAAGAGAAAGTGGAAGAAATTCAAGCGGGGTTTGAGAGAAGCCAGAACAAATCAATTCGCCAAGCATCAAGATAATTCAATGTGCCGCGATCAACAGTGCATCGAGTGCTGCATAAGCGGCTTCGTTTATATCCTTACAAACTGCAAATTGTTCAAGAATTGAAATCAGACGACAAGCCACACTGACAGGAATTTGCTACTGAAATGCTGGATCGTATCGACACCAACACTCACTTTCTTGGAAACATCTTGTTTTCAGACAGGGCCACATTTCATCTGTTTGGGATTGTCAATCAGCATAACGTACGGATCTGGGGAACGCAAAATCCGCATGTGTACAGAGAACATGTCCGAGACAGCCCAAAATTGAACGTTTGGTGCGGCCTAATGAAGGACAGGATTACCGGTCCGATTTTCTTCGGTGAAGCTACAGTATCTGTCCCCGTATACCTTGACATGTTGGAACAGTTCCTGTATCCCCAGGTAGCCAATCTGCAGCCTTACGTAATCTTCCAACAAGATGGAGCTCCGCCATAATGGAATCTAGATGTTCGTAGGTCCCTCAATAACACCTTCCAAGATCGCTGAATTGGTCGTGGCAGTCCAATTTGGTGGCAGCCACGTACACCGTATCTCGCTCTGCTGGATTTCTTCCTCTGGGTTTATGTGAAGGATCGTGTGTTCATTATTCCAGTGAATGATCTCCCAGATTTACAAGCCCGCATCCATGACACGACTGCTACTGTAACAATGGGAATGATGCAGAGAATGTGACAATAAATTGAATACCGACTAGATATTGTTCGTGCTACCAATGGTGCACACGTAGAGGTTAATTAGTGTGTGTCATATAAATTTTTTGAATTGTTCTTGCATTTTCTGTGGTTTCATTTTCCTACCATTCATACTTTCTGCTCTGCAATCTGATAAAATGTGGGAAGTTTTAACGGGACACTGTGTATAAAAAAGGATCAAAGAAGAAGTAAGAGAACTATCGTTTAATAGCGTTAATATCGCACGCCAGCAAAGTCATGCTCCAGATTCTACATAATCATTTAAAAGCCTTTTTATGCCATAAAATAACTAAAGAAAAAACTGGATTTGTTAAAGGCAAAGGCATAAGGGGACAACCTTTAAATGAAAGGCAAATAGTCGAGAAGGCCACGGAATTTAATACTCTGCTTTATTTGTGCTTTTTTGACTAAGAAAAGGCCTTCGATTCCGTGAAGTGGAGTCATCTCTGGCGAATACTTGCTTACATGGGTCTCCCTCCTCACCTGCCAAAACTGATAAGATCACAATACAATTCAAATGCAGCCATAGTTAAAACACAGGTTAAGATCTCAAAAACATTCTGAGTCAAAGCCTGCGTTCATCAGGGATGTATCCTATCCCCGTTGCTGTTCAACATATACAGTGAATATGTTATGACGACTGCCCTGGATGGATGGGATAATGGCATTTCTAATTGGTGGTCGCAAAATAAACAATCTGCAATCATGATTGTAGACCATCAAAATAATAATAGACCTGAAATAGGCCACATCGCAGGTTGTGAAGTGGTCTCGAAATCCTTATATTTGAGCTAACTTATCTCTAATGAAGGTGGCTCCACTGATGAAATTAAAAGGCGGATCATAATGGCCAAAACATCCACATTAAAACTGGCAAAGATCTGGAGAGACAAAGGCATCGTGATTAACACCAAAAAACGCTTGGTCACCTCTTTGAACTTTTCAATAATTATGGAACTGAGTGGTGGACAGTGCATAAGAAAGACTGCAATCGCATAGACGCCTTTGAAATGTGGTGTTGGAGAAGATTACTATCGATACCCTGGACTGCCCGTCAAACTAACATCTTGATATTGAATGAGCTCAGAATAGCGCATCGCTGGTCTTCCAAGATCTATGACCGAATCCTGCGCTATTTTGGGCACATTATGCTTACAGAAAGTGGCCTAGAAAAACTGGTCATGGAAGACATAGTCCAGAGTGAAAGTCACGAGGAACATGCCCGGCAAGATGGATAGATCAAGTGAACGTGCTCACTGGAAATTCGCTTCGAGACGCCATTACTAAAGCACTGGACAGGGAAGAATGGCGGCAGGAGATTCGCCGGGTCCTGCAATTTGAGGTCACGACACCTCCCGGGTCCTGCAATTTGAGGCCACGACACCTCAGTCATGAAGCAGTACAACGAACAAGACAATTATATTAAATTGTTTCAATTCTGCTATGGACATGATAGACACTGGGGGGGATGGAGAGGTCAAACTCCACTTTGACATACACCAATGAAACCTCACATCTCTTATTACAAGGTTAGAGTACATACGTCTGTAACTGTAATACTATTATCCCACGTAGACTATGGACATATAAAACCAGCAAATATAATGTTCAGTTACCACTTCAATTACCAGAATAAATGCTCTAATTATGAGGAAATATGCTAATTAAAATTCTCAGTATCATTCAGCAAATGTTGGTGTAATGTAAAATCTTACTCACATCAACACAGCTAACTAATGACAATTACCTGCAACTCAGTATTACCAATTCTTCTTTGACTACCAGCAATGTCACGTGTTCTAAACCTCTTGTCACTGCTGAATGCCTGAGACGAACCCATTATAATTATCTGCAATATACACAAGGTTTAAGACACATTCTTCTGTTTCACATGATAGCATAAACAAAGAGAATGGAGAATGCCTTGTAGGACCAGCACCACTCCTTCTTGAATCTTCAGATCTATGGTAAAATGGGTTTCTATCTTGAGCAGTAACTACAGCATACAGCATGATTTTCTGTGGATGGAAACAAATATTTGGATTTAGGAACACAATTTTGAACACGGTAATGAAACAGCATGAACAAGTGCAGGTAATCATTTTGATTATGCCAAATGTTGATCTGCGTAGTTATGTTATGAGAAGTTGAACACAATGATATGACAATTTCATCTGAAGTACTGAGTCCATAATCTCATTCATCTGCCTGTGAATTCAGGGCTACTCACAATTGAACAGAAATGGAAAGGATGGACTACAGCCAAAGTAGTCACAAAAAATTAGTTCAGGTGGTAACCACAAAAAATTGTTTTTCACAAAGCTTCTCACCAATTTTACAACTCACCATATATTACTTAATAAGCTTCATAAAGACATGAATTATATCGTATTAAGACTTGTTTCTTGATTAAATGAAGTGCAACTAATTTTTCCATCAAGCCGCATACAACTAAAAATTTCAAAATAATTCAGTATCTAATGCACTACTTCTATTCTACTGAAGAAGCCAAGTTTGAATATTTAAATTATAACTTACATACCTAGATTATTATAATCTTCTCAGTCCATTCAACAACAACGAGATTATCGATCCTAAAACAAGTGAGTAACGATTATTCTCGTCGCCCTTGGTGGACTAGTGATTATCGTGCTCGCCACTGGACCCAAGGTTCACGGGTTCAATCCTGCGGGTGATAAAATTCCGTAGCCATCTTTCTCACCGAAGTCTCCTCATTGATTAACTGCTACATGACTTTGGCAGTCAAATCAGGTTCAAGTAGGAATTGTGCAGTCAGTCAGTCAGTGGGCTGGTCACTCACTACTCATGAATGCACCACTCAAGACCCAAAAACCTCTGAAAAAGGAAACAGCGAAAACCCACAACCATGTTGTAAAGCTGAGAAACAACAACACCACCACCACCACCACCACCACCAATTATCCTCAAGAACATGGACTAGAATCACCTGGGGCACGAGTAACACTTCCCCCGAGTTCCCAAAGTGGGTCACGCAGTTGTCACAATTTGTATCGATTGTGCCTACTCGTGCCGGTAAGGCTGCTCTGAATGTCGAACAAAACCGCTTTGTTGACCTTGTAACAGAGCTACAACCCGTCAAAGTCCAAGGTAATAAAACTTCTTCGTGTTGAACGGCAATAGGGGTTATTACAGCATTACCTTCAGAATCTCGCTGAGAGTAAAACATTTATGAACTGTATTTTGTAAGAAAACAAAATGTGGAAACATCCTTACTGCGACTGAAGCCAGACTCCACAGTAGGCACCACCATAGCATTGTCTGCGTATCTTGCTTCCAGAACTTAGTTTCAATTCCTTCTGCATAGCCCGTCCACTTAAGCCTGCATTAGGTTCAACACACGAACTGCGTAACTTATTACGCTAGACGGACAGACATTCGGTGGCATTAATAAAGGTACTTTTCAGTTAGTCCCCAACTATTTAATGAAGCAAAACACATGGAATATTTCAGAACTGCCCTGTTTTTATAATAGCATCTCTGTGCATAAGTAACACGGCAGGGAGACGAATGAGGGAGAATTGTTACTTCAGTTTATCCTGCCTTTGGCAGAATGTAAATTATTTACCAACCAAGTGAAATACCTGTACGTTAGTAGAATAAACACCATTTTCCATGGAGTTTCTTGGTTAGTTAATTAATTACACTGTGTTCCCTCTAGCTGTTCGTCTTGCAACCATTACAAGTTACAAACAAGCTACTCGCAGCCAATAATGTTGGGTGAAATGTACAGTCTTAACAGCAAGGCACTGAGTTCATAGTTGCGGCACTGAAATAGTATTAGTTTCATTCGGCCACGACAGCTTCCTTCCGCATCCTTTCAGATTTATCACTCATTAATCTTATCGTTAGACGCTATATAGCCTACTCTGAGATACTGACAGCGCCGTTATATAAACTACAAATTGTTCTTCACCTTATATGTGACGACACCGACCGGCACAGCTAGACTGAACTCTGTTTACTTCGTTATTTTATGTTCTGTGATGAGATGGGACAAAAATGCAGTCTGCATTTCTAGTAACTGATGAGTACAGACGTATCTTGCTCTATGCATGCAGAATACATTGTGCCTTGTAATCAATTGAATTATCTTCTGACAGGAATGCAGTTAATGACAATATTTAACATCAGGGAAATATACTATTGGTAGAAGCCGGTAGCTGCTGCAAAAATACTGGGTCATGTCCCTCAACTTGATACAGAAGAAATGGTGAAATATACGTACTGTGGAACTTGGTGATTTGAACTTCTCCTGGTATTGTCAACGGAGGATTAAAAACCCTTTACACTTTTATAATCCGGATGTGAAAGAAGAAACTGGCACAGAATATTGGTGGAAAGTGATTAGTTGGAAGACCTAGAAAAAGCTGCCAAGATATTAACCCCTTGCATTGGCCTTTAAATTAGCTGCATGATAGTACGTAGTGCACAGGGGTGTACATTTAATTTTACAACATGGTGGACTCTGCATTAGAAGGTGAACATAGTTAAAATGAAAGTTATTTGGGACAAGCAATTAGATGTGAAATGGATTGAATTTCCTTCAGACATTTTCATGGCGATAATCATCTCTAAGGTTACAGTTTACGACCGAAAGGTTCTTGTGAAGCTAATGTCTCCCCGCGGAAGAAGTCTGAAAGAGAAGTTGTATATATAAACACTAATTTTAGCTGAGTGCATGCTGAGTCTTTTTTTTGCACTTGGCTGTATATGTACCTCCCATTTTAGAAGTTTGGTAAATGAATACACAATTTTGGAGGGCAAACCTCTTTCAAAAATTATTTTGTAGGTTGAAATGAGTTTGGGGGATGGTTTTAAAGTGAAGGTGACTATTTTTTTTTGGACGTAGCACCACGTAGTCCGGTAGAAACTTACCGACGTTTCACATATCCTTGCTGTTTCCGTCATCAGGGTCAGGATGAATTTATACATCTCCCTGATGATGGAGGCAGGAACCACATCCGAAACTTGGATATACTGTCAGACTACACGGCGCTACATCCCAAAAGGCAGCTGTCTTCATATTCGCCGCCGTGAAATTCACCAGGTTGGTAGACGAATATTAAAATGCATCCTCGAGAAATCGGTTGCAAGACAATGATTTATGGTGTCTCCCTGTTCTTGTTATTTACCAACTTTGCTAAACCTTTAGGTTTTATTACCAGAGCGTTTTATTGATGCTGTTGTAAGGGTAATGTAGCAGGATTTATGTAAAGGGTGAGAAGAAAGCAGTTGGCCTCTCAATCGAGCGATGTCGTAAACATCTTCCATTCAGTGTTAATTTTGATGGAACCTCGCACTACGCTGATATGACCCGTAGACGGACGGACTGTGGCAGCCTCACGCGTTGATTCTTAATTTCTGAATATAAAAGAATGGTGGGTGTGTTCTTATATTGACTGGCAGGGAATTCTGATGTTTCAGAATGACGTTCATATATCCCGGAAACGATGTACTACATGAGAATGCTCTGACCTTTTAGTGTTGGCCTTTGTAAGCACTGGAAGATTTCAACGGCACTACTGTTCTTCACGTGCAGGACTTGTCTTTAAAAAGCTCGCCTGTGACGTGGTATCAGCGCCTCATATCAAGGGTAGATTTATGAAGAATTGCAATCAGTATTTCATACATTTGGCAATATCACATGAAAGTTCTGCTAGGGCATTTCAAAGCATAAATTCAGAGGGAGGATATCTTCAAACCCACAATAGGCAGTGAGAGCCTCCATGCACTCAGAAATGATAACGGTGTTGGAGCAGTAAACGTCGCTGTGTCAAAAGATTTAATTGTAAAAAGTACAAAATTTCCACACCGTGATATTCATAAAAACACTTGGAATTCTCCTGATGGTAGCACACACAGTCAAGTAAATCGTGTTTTAGTGGATAACAGAAGACAGACAAATGTAATTGATGTGAGATCATTCAGAGGAGTAGAATGTGACACTGACCATTATCTGGTACTTGCAAAAGTGAGGGGGCAGCTTTCAGTAAGTAGACAAACTACGCAAAATTTCGACACTGAAAGATTTGATTTGAAAAAATTAAGTGAGGGAGAGGCGAAGGAACAATATCAAGTTTAAATTTCGAATAGGTTTCAAATTTTAGAGACAAATGAAGATAATGAAAGTGTGGACATCAACAGCGAGTGGGAAAATGTCAGTAATTGCATCAAAATTTCAGCCAAAGAAAAACTAGGATACTACAGGAGAAAGAAAAAAAAACATGGTTTGATGAAGAATGTTCCAAGCTAATAGATCGAAGGAAGCAAACAAAATTTCAATGGTTGCAGGACCCAAACAAAACAAATGTGTATAATCTATGCAACGTGAGACGAGAAGTTAGTAGAAGTTTTATGAATAAGAAATGGGAATGGCTGAAGGTCAGAATTGTTGAACTTGAGACAAATAAGGAAAAAAATATCAGAGACCTGTACAGAGGCATTAACAACTTTAAGAATGGATATCAACCCCAGACCAATTTGGTAAAGGATGATAATGTCAATTTGCTTGCAAGATCCAATAAAAATTGTGAATAGGTAGAAAAATTTCTTTAGCGAGCTCTTCAATGTTCAGGAGACTGGTGATATTAGACAGATTAAAATACATACAGCTGAACTGATGGTGCCAGAACATAGCTTAGATGAAGTTGAACAAGCCATTCGAAGTTGAAAAGGTATAAATCTCCAGGTGTAAACCAGATTCCTGCAGAATTAACTAAAGCAGGTGGCAAGGGTTGCATATGAGGATCCACAAGCTTATACTGTTAATTTGGGATAAGAAAGAGATGCCACAACAATGGAAGGAATACATAATTATTCCTATTCATAAGAAGGGGGACAAGACTGAGTGTGGTAATTACCGAGGAATTTCTCTGCTATCAACTATACACAAAATTCTACCAAACATTCTTTTGGCAAGATTAACCCCATATGCGAATGAAATTATTGGGGATCATCAGAGTGGGTTCATACGAAACAGATCAGCAATTGATCAGATCTTTTGCATTCCTCAGATACTAGAGAAAAAATGGGAGTTCAGTGGGACTGTACATCAGCTATTTATAGGTATCAAAAAAGCCTATGACTCTGTGGAGAGAAGGGCTATATAATGTTCTTATTGAATTTGGTATAGCAAAGAAGCTAGTGAGTCTAATAAAAATGTGCTTAAATGAAACCTGTAGCAAAATTTGAGTAGGTAAATATGTATCTGAGTCATTCTTCATCAAGAACGGTCTTTAACTTTGCGCTAGAATATGCCATCAGGAAAGTCCAAGATAGGCAGGAGGGTTTGCAATTGAATGGGACACATCAGCTATTGGCATATGCTGATGATGTTAATTTATTGGGGGACAATATAAATACAATAAAGAGAAACACAGAAGTTTTACTAGAGGCCAGTAAACAGGTGGGGCTAGAGGTAAATTAATAAAAAACTAAGTACATCTTAGTATCTCGTCAGCAGACAGGCGGGCAGAATTATCTTAAGGCCGCCATTCACGATCGCTCCAGATGGATGACATCCGAATGGATGACGTCCAAACTCATGTCGTCCAAAGAGGTACTACATTCACGGTCGCGTCACGCCAGTCGCGGTTTGTTGTCCCTCTGTGAAGTGCGTGGTGTTTGCGATGGACGAAGAATTGATACTAGCTACGGCAGTATGCCTGTATATTAAAAGAAAAAAACCAAAACGAAAGTGGTCAAAGCAATGGCTCTTAAATAGAAGCAATTTAAGTCCTTATGCTCCTTTCTGAAGCAACTTCTAAGGGAATTTTCTTTGTTGGCGGTAGGATCTTTGGTTTTAAATAAAACCACCAATTCTTCCATTGCTAAGCTTCTTTTAGCTTTATCATGATAGTCTTCATTACTTATCTGCCACAAACATGGCAACTCTCTATATTTCTCAATCACCTCAATAACAAACTCACGACCCGACATTATACAAGTTTGGACTTCACTGGACGAAGGCTCGTGGCAGACTGGCATGAGAATGGACCACGTTTCCGCCACTCACGAACCGATGGAGCGATCGGATGGATTATGGCTCGACAGAATATCCAAACGAGCCCACCACGCCACGCCAATGGACTTCAGTTTCCGCATTCACGGTACAATTTTGGAGCGACACCGCGCCATTTGGACGAATGGAGCGATCGTGAATGGCGGCCTTTACATATATCGCAGTGGTCTACAACCATGTTTGAGTTATCTTTGGTCATGGTACCTAATACTGACGTCTATGCTCTTTGCTTGTGGCGTCTTGCTATACCTATTGAATATGGCAGGGGGC